TTCGTGTTTTCTGTGTTGGTTAACTGCACAGTGGCTCGTTGCTGTCCTTCCTGTCTTCTCCCTGCCTCTACCTTTCATTTCCTTGCTGCCTACCTTTCCCACCCTTTTCTTCCCTGCCTTTTCCCTTTCTGCTGAGAGTTAGCATCATGTTTCCTTCTGGTGGCCACTTCTTTTCCTTTTTTTCTCTTTGTGCCCAAGGGTTGCTCTCCCTCCCACACCCCTGTTTCCTGTTCCTTCTTTCAAATAAGAAGCCTGTAAGAGATGATTTCAGAGCGCTGTGTTCTACTTGCATCTCTTTATAGATCGTGTGATTTTTTTTTTCTGGAACCTCGGCGAATGGTTGGCTGCTCTTTGCATTTGTTGCCCCTGATCGGTTGCCAAAATGCTACCTTAGTTGGTCCTGCAGTGCCGCACTGCATGCTGGGATTGTCTGTGAGAGTAAACTGATGGAGCTGCTGCACCAGACAGCATTGGCTGGAGGATGGTGTCCTTTGCTTCCTTTTTGTATGCCTTTTTTTTTTGTATGCAGTAGAATCACTGATGGCTAGTTCTGTCTGGCAAGTAATTCAGAAATACTGCCAGCGTAGAAAGGGAAGGTAGCAGTTTACCACAATGTCATTACAGGGAGCGATAGAAGAACAAAGAAAACTTGTGTGTTGTGAAACATAAGCACAGCCATGGCCGTGTTTAGCTCTTATGGTAATAGGGTACAGATATACAGGGACTATATATATGTACATATATACATATGTATATATATGTATGTATTCAATCATTAATATGCAGAGCTTGAATGCGTCTATGATGTACGTATACACTATAGTCATTTTTTGTTGTTATTTTTTAAAGTCTTAAAAAATTAAACTATACTGATACCTTGTTGGTTGATTTCACTCCACAATTTAGCATTTCAACACAGTGTAAATCACATTGATTAGTCAGATCCTGGCAGGGCTGGTCTTCTAATTCCTTCGAAATGAGAGTATAGCTAACAAAAACATGAAGCTATTACTTCGATTAAACCCCCACCTTCTTTTTTTTAAGTTATGACTAGAAATAATTGATCTCTACAGACCAGCCACACTGGTGGTGGGTGGGGTCTTCGCTTAAGAATAAAAAGACTCACTTTTGCTCTTTCTTCAGCCAAAGAAGAAAGAAAATGAAACCATAGAATAAAGTCTAGGGCTGTTAGGAAACTGCTGGCATTATGTCTTTCTGTGTCACGTGTGTGCCTGCTGGCTGCTTCCTGAGGTGGGGACCCGGGCGAGACCGCGCCTGAGTCTGTTTCCACACTGTACTTGCAGATCTGTCTTATTGATTAGCAGCAAAAAGGGTGGGGACTGGAGGGGAGGGGAGGGGAGGGGAGCACTAAGTGGCAGCCAGCTCATTGAAGCACCAGACATTTTCTTCCGGGAAGATGTCAAACAGCTGAGAAACAGCCGCAGAGGAAGTAGAAAGGTGGAAAAATAAGGACGAAACGAAGGCATTTCTTAGGAGAGCTCGAGACTCTCTTGCTTTGCTCTCTCTCCCCCTCTCTCTTTTCCCTCCTTTCCTTCCATCATCTGACCTGCAGAGGCGAGAGTGACAGCGTCATGCAAATGCTGCAGTCCAGCAGGTCTGGGAGAGGGTGGATGCCAGACTGTGCGTTAATGTTAATGATGAGCGCAGTGAAAATACCAGCCGCCGCCACCCCTTGCACACAGAAGCGCTCTGAGTCAGCATCAGATGCTAGCCTGACTCTCCGTGTGCCTGTATGCCTGCGTGCGAGGGCGCGCGCGTGCTCGCTCGGGCATCCGTGTCTAGCCGAGGGGAGGGGGTGGCGTGTGAGTGCGTGGAGGGTAAAAGCCAGTCAGTCAGTGAGAAGCAAAGGTACGTTGGAGAGCAACTAAAAATCTGACTGATTTCCATCTTTGGAGCATCAGATGTATTCCCTAAGGAGGATGGGTCTCTGTGATGGGGGTGGTATAATTATGTTAATGTCATATTTATGGAGGGGTGAGATTTTTCATTCTAATAATTGGTTGAATGCTATGGTCAAAAATTGTAAAGCCATATTCAGTTTTAAGGAAAAGCATGGACTTTAATTAAGAACTGTTTTATTTTTTTTCCTTTTTTGCTTTTTGTGAATGCTGCTTTTTGGTTGTTTCTTTTGGATTTTCTAAAACTATTTATTTGGAGCCATAAGTGATTCAGTATGGGAAATCAAATGATAAACAGAAAGAGATCTTATATAATGATGCATTACATCACGGAACAGAATATTTAAGTCTTACGAGGCAAAGTAAAGATCTGGGCAGGGGTGAGGGGGTGGTTAGAAAGGGGTGTGGTACTAGGGTGGAGGAGGGGGACACTTAGCAAATATTTTGTTCAGCCTAGCTTTCCTTGCAGCTTGCGTGGCAATGGATGATTCACCTGCCTACAGGAAAACACTCGAATTCTTTCCATTTTCTCCCTGCTTTTCTCTGTCTTTCTTTCTTTTCTTGTTTCTTTCTTTTTTTAACCTCCCCCTTTCCCTTTTAAGATCAACCATTCCAGAAGAACCAGATGCCACTTCGGTGGCCAGGAGTTTGATGTTATGCTAGTCTGATTGTTTTACCCTGCACTCTGTGCTGCTAAACCCTAGATCATTCCTCAAGTACAGATTTTGTTGAACCACAAACGAGAATCTAAAAGATGGGAGGGAGTTCGATGAATATACAGGATTTGGATTGTGTGTTTTCAAAAGTAGTGAACTTTATGATGTAATTATTCAAAGAAAGGAATCTTTTTTCTTACAATGTTGCCAGGATTTTAAGTTACATGCTTACTAAGTAGCCTTGCTCAAATAACTATGGAGTGTGCATGGAAATATTTACTGTCTGAATAGTTTGCATATTTAAAAAGAAAAATCAAGGTTAATAGGCACTAAATAATGACATGTAGAAAGTTTTTTGTTTGAATCTTAACTGCAACAGTATGTTTAAATCAGATTTTAAATGTTGTATATCCTGGGCCTACTGTGTAACAGTTGTGATATATAAAACTGCAATAGAAGCAAAATTTCCATCAGGGTCCCATTAACTGCCATAGAAGCCTTCTTTAATGTAATGGAACCTGGTGCTACTGTAAAAACCCGCTAGCAGCAGATTTTAACCCATTTGTTGTCTCCTTTGAATAGAATGGAATGTCTCTTAACTGTTCATTGTCTGCTTTGTTCTCATAGTCGTCATTATTGTAAGTTCTAATCTGTAAGTGGTCATCATGATTATTCTGCTCATCTTGACTTTCATGTGTCATGTATGTTTCTATTTCTGTGTTTCAATTAGTGTTTAGAAGACGGAAAAAAAAATTCTGACTGCACCCAACTGTAATTCCTAAGCTGTCCTTTTCACTGGAAGAAGAATTCTCCTGCATCAAACCAGACTTTTCCTAGTCCCTGAGACCCTAACTTGTGAGGGATTTAGTAACATCACAAGTCAGGCTCTTGGGACCTAGGCGGAGGGGTACCAGCAGCATTGGACGTTATTGACTGTCGGCATAAACCACCAGAACAAAAGAGCAGGCATAGATTCTGCCTAGGAAGAAAGAACAATGCTTTTCTTTTTAATCAGCAAGGGCTTCACCATGACCCACCCCCCAAATACAATTGTCAGAAACTGTACTCTAAAAACATGGCACAGTGGTAGCAAAATAGCATTTGTATTTACTATGATTATCAATTCAAGTGCTGCGAGAGAGCTGTATAGGAAGCAGAATTAAAACACAAGTGTTATGAGAACCTTGCTTCGGGTGTACTTTAAGATAAATAAGAAGAGAATATGCCCTTAATTAATGCCAAATTTGTTTATATTCATAACTTCTTGTGTGCATAGAATTATATACCTTAGTTACTTGAGTAAATTATTGTGCCTTCATAGAACTGTGGCTTAGAATACATAAGATTCCAATCATACTTGTGGCCTGGAAAAGAAACAATTTGCAGTCTACTGTATTAATCCTATTCGGGTTGATACAAATTTGTAGGAAATATTGTTTTATACATGGTAGTTTTAGCCAGAGTTTCCCTTAGGGTTTGCCCACACAAAATAGTCTAAGTGTATTAACAATTCTTTCTTTGTGAGATTCACAAAGTCTATGTTAAGAAAAGGACAGTGCTTTTGAATTTTTGCATTTCACTTTGTGTGTGTCTTGAATCTGTGTGAGGTAAAGCATTCAGTGGCACCTATGAAGTCAGATGCCCTGCTCTGTATCAACTGCATCTGAGATGCAGGCTTTGATCAGAATTTTCATTATCAGAAGTAAACATTCCAATCGTAGCCCGTGTGACATGTTTGAATATTTATTAGTCATTGACACATCAACTGTGGATTTTTGGATCTATAATCAATAAATCTATTCCAAATTTGTAAAAATATTACAAAAATTGCTACTTGAAATGGAGATGGCTTTTCATAACAGGCAACAGAGAGACTTTGATGTTTAGCTTTATTGCTTTACCATAAATTGTTTTCTCCATTGTTTAAAACAAGTCTATGAATCTATTTTAGGGTATTGTGTGGAGTCTTTGTTCAATTTTGTTCTCCTTGAGTTTTTTATTATTGCTTATGACTTGAAAATCATAAAATACAAAGCACCCTTGTTATTTCATAAAATAATATAGAATATCATAAACACTGACTGTATTTAAGTATGCATGGAGATTGCATCTTTTCAGATTCCTTCTTGGCCTCACCCATGACATTTATCTAGAAGCCTGAAAATGTGTCTGTGTGTATAAAATATGTTTCATGACTTCAAGTGAAAGGAGTAAATATAAATATTAAAGGTTTATTTTTAACTAGTATTTAACTTTACTTCTTTTTAACCTCATTATTGTTGGAACTGGTTGTTATTTAAAAGCTGGACATTTTCAGCACAAAGAAATTTATGCATGTAAATCTGTGAGCATCAAAATCTTGATTCTGTTTAATAGGAGGTTTATACAACTGATAGAAGCATTCTATTGAACCAAACACTGTATAAAGAAAGAGAACTGTGTTTACTGACACATGTTTCACAGTAATCATAAATAATAAGCATTTGATATCAGATGAATTTAAATCAAGAAGAAAGTAAGGAATAATGTTCATATAAGAATAACAGAATATTTAAATATAAGGATTTTCTTTTTATTCTGTGTTAATGAGCTGCACCTTTATTCACACATTTCATGGGAGAAAAATACAAACATAAATTGAGAATGCAATGCTGTGTATTGCTCTCAAACAAACACCATCTATCCATCCCTGTATACATGACTTGTAGATCTTGCAGCTTTGGACACTCTCTGTAAAAATACCCTGTGTGGCATGTGTTTTGTGAGAGTGGCATTCACAAAGCTTTCCTCTCACTCCACAGAGGTGTGTGTAGACATCAGACTTTGTTTCTGTCAGCCACTTTATGTTGTAAGCACATAGACGGATGTGATTCATTCCGCAGTTCTCTCTCAGCTGCCCCCAGATAATGCTCTTCTGAGGCTTGGTAATGTGACTCGGAAAACCAGATCATTCTAAGCTTGAAATAAGGGAAAAATGTGCAACAAAGAGTGAGGAAAAGATGCAGGTTGCATACAAAAAGCAATGATATTAACAGTCCAATGGTTTCGGGACTGGGAGAGCAGCCCGAGTCACAGGCATACATACATTAAGAGCTCTCTGATACCCATGTGAGCTCGCTCAGTGTGTTGGAAATGAGGGATCGAGCCTCTTATCTGACACCAGCTTATTTGTACATATTAATTTTGAAATAGCAAGTCACTATTCCACATACATCGACTAACCCTTGGTTGGTTCTTTCTCTTTCTTGTATTGTTTGCTAAATTGCTGTCGACTCCAAGTTCCTTTTAAAAGTGAAAATCATTACTCAACTTAACCATTTGCTAAAGATTAATGAAATAGTAGTTTTACTTTTGTCTTTGTTTTGCGGCTCAGACAATATTATGATACCTGTATCTTTAGCTTTAGATCTTTATAAGGGAAACATGGATTTTTCTAAATGACAGTTTTTAAAGCATTTTAGAATCCATCAAGGAAGCCACTCTGGAATTTTGCCAGATCTTAATATGATTATATTTTCTTTTAATATTCATGAGATCAATATCATTCTCAGTTTAAAATTCCTAAACGCTTCAGTCTGCCAGACTCACAGAAGTATAGAGATATTCTTGAGTCATTTATTAATGGCTGCCAGAGGAAGAAGTAGCGCAGGGGAATTACAGTACAAATTAATTACTAATGAAATTAGAAAAGGTGGGGTTTACCTTAAACTTGTCTTCAAAATGGCTGGTCCACATGCCAAAGCTTGAACTAATATACCTCAAATATGCAAATGACCTTGTAAGTGGTCATGTTTGGATGAGTTTGGAGAAAAGCAGTGCACAAAGGGTGAGCTGAGTCCCAGGTTTGCACATGCATGCAGCCTGTTTGTCTATGAGCAGCAAATGCAGGCACAGTTTTGATGTCTGGTTTCTTCTGTTTGATTTGTTGGTAGACTTTCAATTTAGTACTCAAATCCCAATGATCCCAAAGTGACTGCATTTGGAAAAAGAAAACAAGATTCCTAATATAGAAAAGTTTTTTTAAATCCTGGGTGTTTGTAAACATGTGAAAATAGAGTTTTTCCCTGTAGCTCTGCAAATACATATTTAGTACGCTGAATTTAGTTGCTGTTTTAATCTTTGTGTCAGTTCCATGTTTAGTTTCCTTATCCATCAATGATCAAAGACATATTGGTGTGTGTGTGTGTGTGTGTGTGTGTGTGTATCTGTCTGTCTAATGTCTGTGTGTCTGCGTGTTCCAGTGCATTTCCAGAAAATGTTTAGTGAAAACAGTATAAACACTCAGACAGCTTCCTGATGTCATCCATATTGTGTTATTACTAAGTTAACTTCAATATTCACTGAGTGACACTTTTCCCATGTCACTTCATATTAAACATATTACATGTTAACTTGAATATGGCATTGTACCTGTGGAAAGTTTGAAAGCAGCTGAAGATTGGAGGTAATTAAGATTAATTTAAGATTAGTTTCATTATCCATCAGCTAACTCCATTAATATTTTTTGCAAACTCAAAGTGCGAACATTTGATAAGGTGGGAAATCTGCCCCACTGACGATATTATTAATGTGATTTTACGTTTGTTTTAATTACTAGTCAGACAAGTACAGTAACAATCATGGATGGCGACTATTTGGCCAAGTGAGCGAGACTACTAACTCCTTGGTCCCAACTTAGTTAAATAAGGTTTGGGGATCATTTTAGAAGAAGGTTTAACAATCTCTCTATTCCATTTGTCTCCCTCATTGTTGACTGATATCTAGTAATTTGCAAACAAGTAAATTTTCTGTGTAATTCTTTTTCTGGGTTTTTGAATTGGGTATTGTCTTTACCAGTCAATATCAATATTTTACACACCCAAGTTGGCAGGTTATTCTTAAAATCTATTGTGTGTAGACATATAAGTGAAGTGTTAGAAATTATACCATTTATATTATGATCGTTTCCCCTTTTCAATGAGAGTTTGGAGTCATGTTAAATTGAAACATTATACAAGTAAAGCCCTTGTCCTTGTACAATTTTTTGATATAATATCTTTTTCATAGTAAACACCCAAATCTTAGATGGGGAATCGTTCTTTGCTATGTAATCACTCTGTTTTTCATTGCACTAAAAGGCGAGCCTCAGCATTTATCAACTATGGGGAGATTTCTACACTAGACACTATTTTTCTGTTGTTGCTCTTGAGGGATTATACCAGTAAGTTCCCTCCCATTTCTGTCTCTTCCTGGCCCCACTGCACCCAACATGGAGCCCTTTCAACTTCTTCAAAGAAGTTGGGGGGGGGAGTGGACTCTTTATTAATGGCAGAAAACAAACTGGCTGAGAGACTTCCGAGACAGATCTCCAATAATGAAGCTGAGCAGGCTCTGTGACAAAGAATTCCTGAATGTAATAAATATATAGAGAAGCCTATTTAATTCATCAGAGGGGCTTAGAGGACAGGCACACAAAGTTTAGAATTCAATTCAAGCCATGCCAGCAAATGAAAATGTACTTTAAAAAGGATTTCTGTTCAAAGAAATGTCAACTTTTAAGGTTCTTTCTAGAAGAATGAATTTTGTACTCTCATTTTATGTACTTACTGTTTTTTTCAATTAAAAAGGAAATGATTAATAGAATCTCAAAGAAATTGCATCTTACGGTTTAAAAAGAAGTGTTTTTCTTTCCACAGGACCCATTCTTGTGACACTCACCTATTACATTGTCTAAAAATAACCAGTTATATGAATGAAACACAGAGATAATTTTACTTTTATGACAATTAGACATAATGGGAATTCTCATCCTATTTCAAAAGAAAAATATTCAACTTTTATATGATTTCCACATATCAAACTTTATGATTTAATACATTTTAAAACAATATAGTCAACTGATTCTGGAAAAAAGCAAATTGCTGATAAAAAAGATAGGACCATGTGATTATAAATTTACAAGATTAAAAGCATGAGCATGACCCTGACCTATACTCTTGACTACTATATGAAAAAACTTACTTTGTTCTCCTCTCAGGCTACCAGGCATGACATTTGTGAGTAATCCTCACTTCCACAAGAATATGAAGTTTATCAGCCCCAATACTGTCACAAAGCATCACTTATAAAGTTTCCTCAGAATTACAGGGATGTAATTCGAGGATGAAACTTCTTGCATACTTTTTTCTGTTTTTTTCTTAGTATTAACAGAGTCTGGAGAAACGTGTGTTACTGCTTTTTTATTGATAACTACCGTCTGTGAAGAGAATGGGTGCTCCTATTTGTTGCACTTCTGGAGAGATCACAGCTGTGAAGGAAAGACTCCAAATCTCACATTTCCCCAATACCTACTGTCAACTCAGTAGTAACTGTTTAGTCATTAGTCCATTACTTTCTCACCTCTAGTCCTGCTCTGCCTCTGCTCTCCTATTCCATTCTCTTTTTTTTTTCTTCTTTTTTCTATCCACTGTGTTAACATTCTCAGGTGAGCTGTCACTATTGAGTGACAAAGCTGACCAGCTGCATCACCTTCATAACTTAATATTCCAGAAGGAAATAAACACAGACATAGAGGGATAGTGAGGGAGGGACAGAGAGATGTGGGGAGGAAAGGAGACAGATGCAGAAATTTAGTTTTTCTAAACATTAGTTCTGAAGATGAAAAAAGAAGCCTGTTTTGCTCCAACGTCCAACAGTGGATCAACTTTTCTTCCCACACTCTGGTATACTCTCACTCAGATGCTGTCACCCAACACAGAGAGGCAACAGGACAACATTAACCTAGCAGGCTCTGAGAAACAAGAGGATGCCTCTCTATGGTACATAGTGGAAGAAATACCAGGAAGAACCAAAACAGGGCTTGAAAATCACCACCAATTTCTGAATCATTTGCCATAACAACTTTTACAGTTCAAATGTTTGTCTTAGTGAACTTGGCAGTGCTTATCAACATGTAAAACACTGTTATCCAGGAAAATTTGTCGTGTACATCATGACAATGAAAAAGTGTCTTGCATGGCAAATCTCAGCCTGGAGTATCATAAAGATCAACTATATTTTCTTAGCACCTCCCATGTTTATTTAGTTTGTGACATATGTCAGGACAGTCACCATATCATGTCAGTTGGGGATTTGAAATTTTATGTTAGGATTAGGATTTAATTTTGTAGTCTAATGTGTATATAATAGTTACCATTTGACTGGTTAGTTAACACCTTTTCTTACCAATGCTATGGAAATGTCTCCTGACTGAATCTTGGAATCCTCTTAGTTCTGATTATGAATTGGACAGAACTTCCCTATACTTCAGTGCATTGTATCCCAGACTGGCTTTGAACTTGTGGCAATGATTCTGCCTTACCACTGAGCAAACCTGGCTGGCTAGATTCTTCATAATTTATCCTTTACTTTTTGTACTGTTGGTTATCATGTATGACCTGGGAAATGTTTAACATTTTACTGTCAATCATGACTGCCTCTCCATAGCACATAGTGGAAGAAATACCAGGCCATTAAACCCATAAACTTTCTCCTATGAATATCCATTAACATACATGGACAAAGTCTTGGAAAGTTTCCCATATCATCAAGAAGTGTCAGTGACATATCTGATCATAGGTGGGGGATTAACTTGCTATGAATAATGACTCTAATGCAAAACATTTTTATGATGCGGTTGAACAAATCTATAAATATAATTTAGAGACTTTGAAACTTCATTTTAACATTCACAGTACTTCTTACTAATTAATCAAATTATGAAATTATGCTGTGGTTTCCAGTATATTAAAACAATCTGTCATATTTGGAACATCTGTTTATGTTCCTGCTTTTGATATATGCTTCTAAGAGGATGAAATAAAGATTGCCATGAATAATGTTCATAATTTATTCTACAGAAGAACAACATCTACTTCCATTCACCAAAGGCTGCTTATCTCCTACAAAGTAAATCTTCCAGATTGTATTTTATCATCCCTTATCAAGATGGAGGGGAAAAGGCTCAGGTCTTAGTTATAGCTCCCTGATTGGATAAGAAAATTGGTGCTGTCATGGCAGCCTTTGCAGACACTGTGCTTGGGCTCCAGACAGGCAGCTGGTGCTATCACTGTCTCAGCAATAAATCACAGACACCTAATGGCCAAGGCTGACACTGTGGCATTTCAAAAACACTAAAAGACCAGATCTGAGTGGAAATCAATTTTGTATCTCAAGTCTTAGGTCACTATTCAGAGCCGTTTCTTGTTTCTTCTTCGGCCTCCATGGGATTTTCATGATCATCAAAGTATTATTGGAATTTTGTATCATGACTTTAGTTATAAAACCATGTTATTCCCTCAATCTTCATTGTTAATTAAGGAAAATCTGATTTTTTAACCTTATGTTTAAAAAAATTAATGTGAGACAAGAGTTGGTTTTACATACTAATGATTTTAAAACAATGATAACATTTGTGTTTTGTTATGGTTTTGGAAAAGCACTGTGAAAATTTTCCTGATTCAAAAATCACTTCCTAATTAGTTTTTGAATGAAGAATGTCTCAAGCAAAAAAAAATCATTGTGTGTGTGTGTATACTCATTAGTAAAGGTTTTAAGTATTAAATTGTAAGTTTAAGAGCCATTGAAAAATAGTTAAGGATTGTGTTGGGTGATTCCAGGTATTACACTGTGTTAGCATTATACCCTTAGGTATAGGAATGTCTAAGAAACTATGTGCTTGACAATGTGAGAAGAAGTTACATGGATGCTGGATATTTAATATATTTGATTTGCCTTCAATTAATGGTATATTAAGGTCTTTAAACCCATAGAAGGGAAAAATACTTTCATAGTATTTTTGTTTAATTCTCTAAGAATTATTGAAACTGAATTCTTGGATATCCTAAGGACAATGTTAGTTGAATGTTTGGGAATCCTCTCCTTCTGGTTACCAAAAGTCTTAGTAATCATTTTCTTTCATTTCCATGATGAGTCTTCCAGTTTATCTGAAATTGTATTTTTAAGGAGAAATAATTATTGCTAAGAAGATCATTTTGAAAAATCCCATGGATAAGTTGAATTATATGCAACTACAGATAAGAAACTTCTTTGAATCTTTGTTCTCTTACTTCAGTAAGTAGAACTTGAATATCGGGAGTGGGCATTTAGCTCTAGAATATGCCTCCCCCTCCCCCTGCCGCAAAGCCCATGTGTTTAACACTTGATCTTCAGTTTGGGGTCATTTAAGGAGTAAGTCCTACTGGAATGTCTTGAAGTCATGAGACTGTGCCCTTGAAATGGGAAGGGGTACCCCAACCCTCTTCTTCTTCCTTTCCTTTCCTGTACAAGATGAGCAACTTAACTCCATCAAACACCTATAGAATATATGCTCACAAGTAGAATGTCAATAGGATGAACTGATTGTTAAATGGAATAACCAAAGTGAGTAAAAGTAAGCAATTTTCTCTTTATGAGAAGGGATTATTTCGGAGATCTGTTGTGGTAACAGAAAACTGGTACAAGGATGTCAGGATAGTAGTAAAAATTCTAGAAGTGATTAGAAAGCCAAAGAAACCATCCACCTACAAAGAGAGTTGAACTTGATAATCGGCCATCCTCAGACACATTGTATGTTTGAAAGGAGGGAAAAGCACCAAGTGTTATTCTAAAGAAAATATCTGAAGTTTTCATAGCATCCAAGCATGGTCTCCAAACTTTGCCACCAGGATTATACAGTTTTGAGATTGTACCACAGTGAGCATGCAGGATTCATCCTCTGTAGTCTTTCACCCTGAGAAAATCCAGAATGGTAAAAACTAGATGTTTGCACAAAAGTGCTTGTCTGTCCTACTGAACATGAATGATTTTGAAACATCCAGTATGAAATGAAGTGAAAACAAAATATAGAGACTTTTAAAAAATATTAATCTTTGCCTCAATGATATGTTTTGTTTCTAAAGATACACATATTACCTTGTAATATCAATTTTTAAAATATATTTCATTTTAAACTTTTATTTCAGTGGCCTACGTCCTGAAAGTACCAGAATCCTTCCACATATAACTAGAAAGATTTTATTATCACAGATAAAGTTAAGCTTGCTATTTTAATAGTAATTCTGCTACTTTCAGACCATCATGGGCCAACTTAAGATCTTATCACATTGTCTAAATATGAACTAGTTTACTTACAAAATAAATTATTGGCTTGGATAACAGTTGTTCACCCTATAAAATTATACAATTAAAATTATAGATAAACTGAAAACAAACACTACATTTCCTAGAAAATAAATCTTATTATCAGATGGAACATACTCATGCGTTCTCAGTGTTTCATCACATACATATATGCATTCAAATTTTGCATATTTTCATAACTTTAACTTTCGTTTTCATCTCAAAATACTGATTTTACTCATGTATTATTTTATCATCTATTCATGGCATTATAACTTTACTGTAACATATGTAACCAGGTGGATCACAAATATCATTATTTGGACCATTTTTGTTACTCATGTAAAAACTCCTCTGAAGATCAATACCTATTTCTATAAATATATGTAATAATTCCCTTAGGATACTGATTAGGACAAATGATAATTTCTTGAAAGAAGAGAGTGTATAGGCAAATATGAGACAAAAGGGTCAGGAAGATTGAGAAGGTAACTGACAGAACCAAGTTAAAGTATGACATGAAAGCTCAGAGAAATAAATCAAGATCATTACCACTAAATTGCACTTGTCTTATTTTTCACTCTGTTTATTATACTGATGACATTTATTTATTTAGTGTATGAAAAGAAATGAGAAGAAAGAATATTTAAAATATCTATTAAGTTATTTTCTCGACTGTACAGAAAATTTAATAAGCTCACACCAAGCTAGTTGTCTTAGATGTTAGAAAGCACATTTCCTGTTTCATTCTCATTGTCACCACCCCTGTGGGAGGCAGGCAGGGAACTAATACCCAGTAGATGGGTTGAGGGATATAGTGAGTCATAATCATTCCTGTGGAAACCTGGGAAGCCTACTTGGACATGCTTACATGATTGACAGAAAGGAAAAACTAGAGAAGGTTTGAAATACCCCAATCTCTATCTAGTCATTAAACCCATAAACTTTCGCCTATGCATATCCATTAAAATGCATGGACAAAGTCTTGGAACGATTCATCAAGAAGTGTCAGTAACATATTTGATCGTAAATGGGGAATTCATTATCATTTTAGATCATTTGAAAACACTAGACAAGAGTGTAGTTTAGTCAACAAGCTAGTTTCTCTAATAACAATAGTATAGGGCTGAACAGGAACCAGAAAGTGTTGTAAGAATGAGAAAGCCACAACCTGACATATATTATCAAAAGCTAATTGTGAACAGGAAGCCTTAATGGGGAGAAAATTCTCGAATATTGTGAACTATTCATGCCCACATTAAAATGATAGACCCAACAGTGATTGTCACTTCTCAGTGAATCATAGAACAACCTGTGAAAACTAGAGACCTCATTGCTTCATATAGTAGCAAAAATTTCAGGTCTTCTTTTTCTCAATTTCTTTTGAGTATTTTATTCTCCTTTTCTCTGAAAACAGATTAAGTTCTTGGTCTTTAACAAATAGGCCCATATATTTATTCACTCAGTCAACAAACACATTAAATGTCCTCCATATGGCAAGCAGATTATTTTATGCTGCCAAATTATTCTCAGCTATAATTTATTTTATTGTATTTGTTTAATATTAATTGAATGTATCAGGGCCTTTATGTTACAAGAAGCATCTGTCTCACACAATTCTCATTCATGTATTCTAGGGTTAAGTTTTCATCACACACACACACACACACACACACACACACACACATCCCTATCCACAGATACATAGGAAATACTACGATGCTAAAGAAACAACACCAGAAAACAGTTAGATAAAGTATTCTATAGAAAGTCAGTCTTGTGAGAAAACAGCATGATGTATTTATTGGCGCTTCTAATATCTTTGTTGGGAATTCAAGCAGAACAGAGGAAACAGTGAAATTTAGTGTTTTATATATTTCCAAAGCTTGAATCTGTAAGTTAATCATGTGTGTTAAAGCTAAAATCAGACAGCATTTGCTTCAGACTCTCTTGTAGATGCTTTTCTAATGAAGCTGCTTCATTTCCTATCCTAATTACTTTATATATATATATATATATATATAATCAAGAGAAAAACCTTATATTAGAAGTAGGAAGATTCATGTAGTATATGTGGTTTCATTGCTTTAGTTGGCCTCTTCACAAGCCTTTTAGTAACCAGATCTCAGAAACATCTGTCTGAGGATGAGCTATTATCTCTGTCATCCATTTACTTGAGAAGGACTTAGGTTAAGGTCATAAGCAGAGGATAGGTTACTTCTATCCAGAAATTAATCAGAAAATTCATTTTGTGCTGGGATGCGTTTCTCTGTGACTGTACACCTCCTCCCAATACATATTTTATGATCCTTTACCTCCTTTCCTTCATCAGTAGTTTAAAGGATTTTGGAGTTCTATATGTACTTAACTAGACACTTAATATATAATATGATAGGTAAAGTGTGTTTAAAAGATGTGATACCTTAAAGAAAATATGTGGGTATCATAAGTGAATCTAATTTACTGGAAGTTTCAGGCTACATTCTTAGTCATATCTGTGCTGGAAGAAACCTACTTTCTCTTTTCTGTTTCATTTGCATTACCACAAAATTATTCATGAATATGAACAGCATATTATTCATATCCAAATTTCTTCATTTCTTTTTTTCAAACCCAATGTGTTTATGAGTTATACATAAACATACTGATACATATGTATATTTATACACAGCTATCTAAGCGATTCAATCTTGGCACTACAACTGGATAACAAGCTTAAGTGATTACATTTTTGTCATGTGTGTCTTATTATACCATTAATGACATTACAATTGTCAAATAGGCTGAAATCCAGTAATTATAACTGCCATGGCTTAGTGTGGTTTGTCTCATTGAGAATGATTTTAAAAACAAAGGGATCCTATCTGAATCCTTCTAGTACAAATGGCAGGTGCAGTTAACATTTTTACTGAGTTGCTATTTTCAAGGTACTTATGGTAAGTATCTTTTAAAATCACTATTTGCACAAAGCAGTATTAATTCAGGGTTTCATAGACCCAATGTCCTTCTAAAGCAACTACAAAGATGAACTGACAAGAAAACTGACCAACATGTCTGGGCTTACCTCCCCCTAATGCTAGATTCTTCTTAACTCAGTATCCCAGGAAATCACTGCCCTTGAAATTATAGGCAGAGTTTACACAGAAAAATAAATACCCCTATTCTCCATTTCAGCTGTCACACTTTGGAAAAGCAAACTTTGTTGCTTCAGTTCCCAAAACTTTAACCTTAAAAACATCCCTGCTTCTGGGAAGCAGAGGAACAAAATGAGAACAAGTTTTGAGGACTGGAAACTTTATTTATGACAAAGATGCTGTGCCCTGTTCCATCTGTATTTCTGGGTGACATGGAGGGAGGGAGAGTGGAAACTTGTATCCCCATCTTTTAAATTAATTCCCATTAGCCTTTGACAAGTGGATCATTTTTAAACCCACAGGATGCTGTATTTTTCTTTTTGATAATTGTTACAGGTATTAAAGTGAAGAGACAGTGGTAGGCATGAACACAGTAAACTGATTTCATAGGCAAACTCACTTGTCTGAGATCAAATGGCTACAGCACAGTTAGGGTTACAGTCTCCTTCCTTTCCTCCTTATCCTCAACAGCACTGGAGCTTTTTCCAAAGTTGCCATGGTAACACTATATCTGGCTGCTGGCTCTGTCGTAAGTTATTGAACTGAGACTGGCTTTTGGTTTAGCAGATAATTAGGTTCTGTCTCACAGGTTCATTTTCCTGTGACTGGAACGTGAATATGACCTACAGCTGGCCTCAATTTCAGTGTCACAGACAGAAGTTTAACCCTTCAGAGCTCCCCTGGTACAGCCCTGAGCCTGGCTTGTGAGCTAGAGGACACAGAGTGCCAGTCACCCCATACACACCTTGGGGAGACTGCTGAGTCTTTAATATAAAATTCTATGTTCATTGTACACTAAGGAGCATATGGTCAGGGAAACATTAGGCACTTTCAAAACTTAAAAAGGTCAACAATATGATGACTATTTATATATTATTGTATGTAGAACACACAATTTCCATAGTCACTTAATTATCCTTATCTCTCAAACAGTTTTAAAGTCTCGTGGAGGTTTTTTTCTTTTCAGACTGAGACACATGCCAGTACTAATAGTCCAACTGGGAATATTAGCATGGTACCTTTATTAGCAGCTTTGAGGACTGTTTGCTTATTCCTTCTCCTTTATGTGTTACAAATTTTAGCTGGTACTGAATGGCTGCTTTGAAGCCAAAGACAGAGCCATTTGACAGGGAGTAGTAAATCTACTTTATTGAAATGCAAAAAATGTTCACTCAAGCTGGAACCATCTTGTTCTGGAGAACTAGCAAATTTTGTAAAATGTATTTGTCAGATTTCAGTTAATAATTTGCTCTTTGTTTAGAACAAAGAAAGAAGCACCACATTGAAACTAGATAATAAATCCTTAAAATTAAATTCATGTTCTGGCTACAAGTGTGGTGGGAATAGTCAGAACAGGTATGTCTTCACAGGTAAAACAATGGCAAAGGCCTTCGGGAAAACATTAAGTGTTAGTATACACTGGCTGAAATGAAATAGCAAAGAGATGATCTTCTGCTATGTAGAGTACAGATTACTTTTCATCAGTTTTCTTATTACAACTGCTGTGTTATCAGAATAGCATAATAAATGTTATGTTATAAACCCCATTACAACCTTAGCCTGCCCATGCCTCAACATCGCCTCTCCAGGATGCTACCTCCTTCTCTCCTTACCTTCCATTTACCATCCTCTGGTAGATGAAAGTGTGATCCTTGGATGGTGTTAGTCTTTGCTGTTCCCTCTGCAGGAATACACACGTCCCCTATGATATTCTGCTCTCTCTGTTCGAATGCTATGTGCTTGCAGTTGCTTTCTCTGAATGCCCAGAGAACTGCTCTGTTCACTTTCCATCATCTTTCTTGCTTTACAGTTTCATCATAGGACTTATTACTGTTTAATATTTTGGCAGACACAAAATAATCCAACAAGTATGTGCTTACGTACCTTTCCACTAAAATGTTAGTCCCATTGACTATTCATAGATATGTCCCCATCTCTTAGAACCCAGGAGGCCAGATCCAAGAAAGCTTTACATAAAAACTTTTTGGATAAAAAATTTAGAGAATAAATAAATTAGTAAAGAAGTTCAAATAAAGTGTCTATTTACCACAACCTAGTGAGATGAAGAGACAACCTCTTTTTTGAACACAATAAATAAAATCCACTATAAAAAGAAGTTGCATGAGAGCGTAAGGGCTCAATATAAGCACCTACTTTTCTAAACTTCTAGCCACTGAATTCAAGTAAATTACTGCCCATAGCATCCTATTTTGTGTGTGAAGTCCACGAGCACACATGTGTTCAGGTGTGTGCACCCATATGTACACACAGACATCATAGGGGACATTGGGTGTCTCTAATTTACTGCCATAAAACAAGGACTCTCCCTTGAGCCACCGAAGTGATCTTCCTGCCTCCACCCCACAGTGCTGGGATCGCAAGAAATGGGAGTAATTCCCTAGGTGCTGATAATTTAAACTCAGGTCTCATGCCTACACAGAAAGTACTCTTGCATGTTAAGTCATCCTCCAGCCCAAAATTATCCTCTTGCTTGAGCTGAACCTCAAACAGAATGGCATCCATTAAACAGACACATGCATACCACTCTAGTCATTTGTGTCCTTCACCTCTAAAGGACCAGATAATAAATATTTTTGCTTTGCCACCCACACAGTCCATGCTGCAATTACTCTGCATGTCTGTGCAGAAGTGAAGGCAGATAGACAACACATAAACAAATGGCCATGGCTGAGTCCCACCAATATTTATTAAGTTCAGAATTGAACGGAATTAACCCACAAGCCACAGTTTGCTGATCCCATCTTTCCTGGTTATTGGAGATGCCTAAGGACCGTTACTCTCTTACCTACTTATTGAAAGCAATGAAGCTTTATGGATGGCTAGCTTCATGACATGTATGGTATAAAAGGCTGATTTCTTTCCCTTCCCCTTAGGTGCTTAAAGGCAGTGCCTGCTTTTTAATTTCTCTGTAGTAGCAATAATTGAACGAGGTCAGATATTTCCAATGATAGCATTCATTCTCGGGGAATGAATGGTGTACTATATGAATACAGTTGTTGAATATTCCCTGACATGGGCAAAAAGACTTTTACTTATTCCTGTATTCTTTGCCATGGCCACTTTAAGCTGCCATTGTCATATCACATAGTATTGAGTTGAGGAGGAAAACCTTGCCTCTCAAATTAAGAGGTGCTGTGTTCTGAATATATATTTAAATTTTCCAGTAACTTCTCACAGAATTTTCAAGAAAGAGTGGTTAGCTTGAAGGAAGCAACTGTCCAGAAAATCATTTACAATACTAACAAGTTCAGAGAAAAAATATATGTAATGCTATATATATATTGTGCTCTGAGCTAGTGTTTGGTTAAAATACATATTCAATAAATGGAAACTATTAACTTCTTATTTTAAGTTACTATAAACGTTAAAATGAAACACTTAACTACACACTCAATACAATTTTAGTGTCTGTGTGTTAATAAGGCCTCTTAACATTGAAGCAGCAAGGCAAAGGGAATTTTATGTACTATTCACAATTGTACCCAGCTCAAGGTCAAGATAGCAACAAAATACTCCAAACTGAATGAAAAAGTCTCCACTTGACTGCAGCTCTTCATAACACTTCACAAGGGTCAAGCTGTGCTATTTTCTTTCAATGTTAAGTAGAATGCATCTTAGGAGCACAGTTCACTTATTGATTGGAGTGGGTTCAGACTGACTATAATTCAAACAAATACACTTCAGTGAGTTCAGGACCCAGATGAGCTAACACAGGGCAGAGGTTTCACTCAGGATTCAATACAGGCACCCAGTATGAATTAGTAGCATGGATGTCTTAGCATTATGTAGCTGCATATATTACACTTCTAGGCCAGTTTTCCAACACCACTGAGATAACAGACAAAATACTGACAATAAGCTAGAACAGGTGATACATGCTTGAAATTGTAGTACTCAAGATGTTAAGGCAGGAGGGTTATCATGAGTTTGAGGCCAGTCTTAACTATAAAGTGAGTACAAGGTTGGTTAGAACCAAGACTCTTAAACAGACACATGTGCAGAGAGAAAAAGATAGAGAGAGAGAGAGAACATCCAAGTGGACCTTTGTGTGAAAGAAATATATTGACCCTGATAGAGATCAATATACACTGTACTTCCTTGTATTTTAAGAAACACAAATATTCTGGGAATGTACAGAAAGGACACAGTTGTTTATAGAAGTGGAATACATGGTTTTGCCAACCTTATGGACCTCCTTTTTATTATTGTTATGAAAAAAACTGGAGAAGCTAGTGGTGTTTAATTTAGAACTTGCTAGTGTGTTGTAACAGAATTATAAACTCTAATATCCTATACTACTTCTCACATATGAATAGAATACATTTTCACGATGTATTTATTAGGGAGAATTAAATTATCATTAGTCTTCCATCTATGTGGATGGTATTTTTGTTCAGTGATGTTGTGTTATGTATAAATACTCCACTTATTCAATAATGCATCACTAAAATTAGACCTCTATTTTGAAATTGTTGGTCGAGTATCTTGACTTGACTCTGAAAGCTGTCTTATAGGTTAATGAGTTCTTTTCCAGTTTGAGGTTTCTCAAATCTATTTTAATTCCATGTCAGAAATTGGAAAGGTTTTTCCAGGAAGAGTTATATAAACCCACAAAATAACATGTGAGAGTCTCTGACCTACTTCTTAGACTTCAATTTTGCTACTGGGTTTGTCCCCAAATAAGAATAGAGATGCACTGTGTGTTTTAACATATTGACTTTGTTTTTGCAATGTACTGCTGTGAAAATTCATGCATTCATGTGTGTGTGTGTGTGTGTGTGTGTGTGTGTGTGTGTGTGTGTGTGTGTGTGTCTAATGGATGCTCATGTGTCCTGTGTACAGGTCAATATGGAGGTCAAAGGAAGATATCAGTTGTCCTGAACTATTTCTGTGCTTCATTCCCTCGGCATGGATCTTTCACTGTATCTGGAACTCACAATTTTCTGGCTACTGGTTGGCCAGCCAATGCTAGCAATCTTCCTGTTTATACACCTACAGTGCTTGATTACAAGCCCACATGGCCATACTTTGCCGTACAAATATATGGGAGGGGGAGAATAAGAGTTCAGATCCTCATGGTAGCAATCACTCTTTTTTAATTTAAATTAGAAATAAGCTTGTTTTACATGTCAATCCCAGCTCCCTCTCCCTTGCCCCCTCACCTGCCATCCACTAACCCCCAGTCCCACCACCTTTCTGCTTCCCAGGGAGAGTAAGGCCTTCCATGGGGGATCTTCAATGTCTGTCTTATCGTTTGGAGCAGAGCCTAGGGCCTCCCCCATGTGTCTAGGCCGAGAGGGTATCCCTCTATGTGGAATGGGCTCCAAAAGTCCATTCTTTTGCTAGATATAAGTACTGGCTTACTACTAAAGGCCCCATAGATTGCTTAGGCCTCCTCACTGACACACACACATTCAGGGGGTCTGGATCAGTCCCATGCTGGTTTCCCAGCTATCAGTCTGGGGTCCAT